CCTCCTACCTCCTGTTGAGGCTTCCCTGGGACGCCACCTAAAGTCAATATTTATTCCTGGTCTTCTAGTGCTTATGAGCTCTCTTACTATTCAGCGATGATTTGTTGCTGGGAATATTTTAATTTATTACATAATTGCATTGATAGTTATTTTCCATGTGCATATGTGATGCCCAGTTAAGTACAAATTCACTGAACTTTAAAATGATAAAAATTGACCCCAACGGTCAGCACAGCGGCTCACATACAGTAGATGGATTGCTGTCCCAGGATGACTTGGGGCCTTTAGATACACTGCATTTTCCCCAGCGCAGAGTGCAGTGCAACACTCAGGGGCCCATGAAGTGCCATTCTGTCAAGATCAAATGCCTTGATTTTCAGATCTGCATTCTCTTATCCATCCAACAAGTCCCAGGAAGTCTAGGAGGCTGTAGGTTTGGGGGAGTAGGAAGAACTTGGAAAATCTTCCCATATTAGGCACGCCTTAGGGTGACTTTGTGGGGGTGCTGTGGGCTGGGAAGAGGAAAGAAGAGAAAGTTGGGCAGAAGCATCATGAAAAAGAAGATGGGAGCACGCCACCGTCATCATTCTCCAGTGCCTTCTTGATTTTATACCTCAAAAAATGAAATATATAATAACAAATTTCAATTAAGATTTCGATTATAAAGTGATATAGTTGACAGCAGTGGTAGGCAGACTGATGGCCCCACAAAGACGTCCGTGTCCTAATCCCCGGGAGCTGTGAATACGTAATCTTACAGGGCACAATGGACTTGGCAGATGTGATTAACTCAAGGATCTTAAAGTGAGGGAGGTTATCCTGGATTATCCAATTGGTCAATGTATTCACAAGGTCTTCCCACAAAATGTTTGATGTATTGCATGTTATTGTAAGCAAAAAAGGGAGAGTCAGAGTCAGAGAGAGAGGTGCTGCTGGCTTTGAAGATGAAGAAAGGGGCCACAAGCCAAGAGATGCAGGCGGCCTCTAGAAAAGGAAGGAAAAGGCAAGAGCGGATTCTCCCCAAGAGCCTCCAGAAAGGACCTCAGCCCTGCTGATGTACTGATTTTAGCCCAGTGAATCCCATGTCAGACTTCCAAACTACAGAACTGCAAGATATTAAATATGGGCTTATAAGCAACCAGGTTTGTGGTAATTTGTTACAACTGCCATAGGAAACATACAATAACATGCAACACATCAAGTATTTTGTGGGAAGACCTAAGTGTGAGTCCAATGTAAGCTGGAGAGTTCAAGGTAAGGATTCCGTAAGTATACTGAATCAAGTGAGAAGGATTTTTAGGGCAAAGAGGAGGGGAAAAGGCACTCTCGTCCTTGGGAATAAATGGAGAAACAAGAGTGGGTCTGGGACACTACAAGTCATCTCACCTTGCTAGCAAACAACGTTGGCAACATGGCAAGAGATGAAGTGGGAAGGGTGGGGAGAGGGCTTCTCCACCTTGGGAGGGGCTAAGGCATTAAGCCCAAAATCATGAGGTCATGAGGGGGCACTGAAGTGTTTTAATGAATAGTGGTAGTGGTGGTGGTGGTGGTGGTGTGTGCCTGTGTATGTGTGTGTATTAAGGGGCAGGAATGATACAATAAGATTTGTATTTAAAATATATATTACATATAATTTCCTTTTAGCAAATAACTCCCAAACAGAAATAAACAACAATGATTTCAAATATGAGCCCCAGTCTGAATGTCACAAGGTAGAGGCTCTTACGTGGGCACTTGATTTACTGCCAGAACTTCTTGGGCAACAATGTGTAGTATGCTCCAGGATGGGAGACTTCTGCCCCAAGCCCCTCCCCTCTAGTGGCCCCTCATAGAAAGAGGACCGCTTCAGTGATGGTTCTGATGGTGGTTTGGAGATGCTTTAGTCCCTATACAATTTCCATCAGACCAACCCAAGCCCTTCCAAAAGATGCATAATACTAATACTTTATTTTAAAATATGAATAATCTTAAG